AAAGATCATCGAGTCCAACCATCAACCCAACACCACCATGTCCACTAAACCATGTCCCTAAGCGCTCCATCTACACATCTTTTAAATACCTCCAGGGATGGGGACTCAACCACTTCCCTGGGCAGCTTGTTCCAATGTTTAACCACTCTTTCAGTAAAGAAATTTTTCCTCATGTCCAATCTAAACCTCCCCTGGCGCAACTTGAGGCCATTTCCTCTCGTCCTATCGCTGGTTACTTGGGAGAAGAGACCGACACCCACCTCGCTACAACCTCCTTTCAGGTAGTTGTAGAGAGAGATGAGGTCTCCCCTCAGCCTCCTTTTCTCCAGGCTAAACAACCCCAGTTCCCTTTTCTCCCAATTCTCTGTAAATTGTGCTGCTGCACACTGTCTAGGACAAGCAGTTCCATATTTGTTTCTGATCAGTCTTGCTTACCTTCTCCTCAGCCACTTTTTTAATTCCTGAAGGAGTTAGCATACCGTCTGTTACAATATCCCATGACCGACTGCTGCATTCCCTGGAGTTGATGCCTACAGCCAGGTAAGGCATTTACTTGCAGCCTTCCTTCCCTTCCCCTCAGACCACAAACTGGAATAAATGCCAAGAGGCATCCTTTCAATATACCATATGGAAAGCAAGAGTATCTCAACAACTTGTTACCATCCACTTGCTATCTTGACTGATTTTTTTAATTATTATTTTTTCTTCATGTTGTAAAAGTAACATTCATCAACATTACTTCAGTTCATTTTCTGTTGCACATCTCATTCATTTCCCTTTGAGATAGGAATTAACCTTCTGTCTGTCTGCTCTCAAAAGTAAAATACTTCTTGCTTTCCATATACGTCTCAAGATTCTCCAGCCACGTGGCAAGAGGCTGATTGGGACTGGCACAGATGAGGGAAGCATTTGGACTCTCTTGCTTCCTTGACTGTCGATAGCTGATGTTTTGAGAGTTTGACCAATCTAGTCTAGACCTTTGATTTAGAGCCAAAGTTTTCAGGTACAAACCAGAGATAACACAGGAATTGACAAATATTGACTCAGGAAGAACTGAAAATTTTACCCTGAAAATACATATGTACCATATAGGAAAGACATCCAACTTGGTTGGATGAGGATGTTTTTCAGAAATGAGTAACGCCAAAAACATATAAAACAAAAAAAGGGAAAGCTCTTATTTAACTTCACCTTCACTCCAGCAGTATAAGGCCCTTTTTCTGGGATGCAGCCTCCTAATGCACCAGTACTAGCATTCATATCATAGCAGCCAGAAAGGCACTTGGACTCCCAGACATATTGATTAATAGGCCCTTTATTAGAGCTCACATGAGAAGGAAGAGAGGACAGTAAAGATAATCTTACTTCCCTTCAGATGCTGGGAACCCCGAACTGTGCAGCATCAGGCACACCTCCAATCAGGGCACAGCCCACGGTGCAGATCCTGTCTGTGGAGAGGTTCCCCAATGTTTTGGTCTTTAGAGCTCTTGTAGGATCTTCTGAGAAGAAAACAATTTTAGTCATCACTCCTACTGTCAAACAAAAGGATATTCACACAAGAACATGCTGCTTCACTTTGAGATAAAGACAACATGCAGGTGGTGTAATTGCCAATGCCAGGAGGGAGCTCCTACAGGTTCCTTCGTTACAATTAGCTGCCCAAGTATTTTCTGCGGCCGGGGGATAGGTGCAGCACAGGATAGGCCAGAAAGCCAAGGTACACCTGCACCATAACATGGCATAGCCCGTGCTGTAACATAACCTGCATCTTTTCAGGTTAACTGGTACATGGGTCATTACCTCCTTGATGGACGATGGTCTTCTGCTTAGGATGTTGCTGAAATATGACTATTGTAACATACAGAGCATCACGTCCCTGGCCTAAAGGGTAAGCAAGGTTATCGGGTAATTTACCAGTTTTCAGCAACGTAAGTATTAACTCTATGGGAATTTAGAAGATCCAGCATAGCACTATAATAAAACTATTTAATTCTTCTGCAACTTCAAGTCTCCAACAAGATGACACATATTCTTGAAATAAGGCTAGTTTAAAAGTTAGTCTGGAGCTGCCTAAGAAGTCCAGTGCATAGAGAAGCTAAGTGAAGAAGAAAGAAACGTCTCCTCCCTATGGTTAATAAATATATTTCAGGACACAAATCCTCTAATGCAATATTAAAAAAAATACAGAAAGAACACCTTTAATAGGTCAAACCAAAAATCCATCACAGCCAGCGTTCCCTCGTGCGCACGTGAGCGCCCTGGGACACACTATTGCACAGTCCCTCTCCCAGCGGTTTGGGCTGCACTTTCCCCCACATCTGCTTATTTACACCCTCCCCGTCCTCCCCTGCTGGGCACTCCCCTGCTTTTTACATTTTTGGTCCTATGATCATCATGCATCTTCTTCCTCCCCTCCTGCATCTGTTGCTCCCTCTAGGCAATTGGTTGCTTTTTAATTTTTTTTTATTATTTTCCCCTTCTCTCTTTAGCCCTTTTTCTCAGGATAATTCATTTTTTCAGGATAATTCATATTTAAGAGAATTCAAGAAGAGAGAGTTCAATAGGGACTGTAGCAGAGTAGCACCCCCTACAACTACTGCTTGAGGCTGAGCAGAAGAGGCAGGGCACTTTCTCTAGACTTCCCCAGCATCCACCTTCACCGTTTAGCGATGTTAGAGGGTCTATCCTCGACTTTATTATCTATTTATGGACTTGTTATGCATGAATTTGTCTAATCCTCTTTGAACCTGCTGATACCTGGGATCTGCAGCCCCAGCTTTGCCTGGTTTAAAACACTAAAAGAGAACTTGTTCCAATCTTCTGCCGGTTTTATCAAGTAGCCCTAGTGCTGATGTTACAGGGTTCTGTGAAAATAGTTCTGCCTTACTCTCTGCCTTTCTGCTTTTGTAAAGCTCAGTCACATCCACATTTGAATGCTCCTCTCCCAGCTGAAGCCGTAGCTTTCCCCAGCTCCATGGCGATTTGGTTTCCTTCATACCATTTGGTGTGGAAGCTAGTCAAAAGCTGCTGGCAACCTGCCAGTCCCCTGGCACCAAAGCTGGCTGTAGCAATAGGTGACGCACCTCGGCCAGCAGTTCTGTGTCACCCCTCAGTTCCTTCTAAAGCAACGGCTGAGTATCATCTGGGCCAGGGGGGCTTACTGACATCTAGAGTACCTGTTTCGTGCAATAAATCCTGCACATTTACCCCAGCTTGAGCTAAGTTCCAACTGCCTGCTACAACAAATGCAGGAGGTGTGGCATTTTCCTTAATGTCTTCACTAGTAGAAATCAATGACTGCAACAGATGGCAAATCCCGAGCTGTACACACATTAGACCGTGGTCTTAAAAACAGGAACAGCATGGAGAAAGAAAACCATAGCGCATTCCCTTCTTCAATTCTTTCAGCATCTCTTCTCACCAAGAACAACTATAACACACTAATTTCAAAGTCACTGATTTTCAGTGTTCAGTCTTACTTAGCTCGGGAGATGAGATTTGCTTTGACCGTGCCCCAGATCAGCAGATAGAAGCAGCAGCCTACCTGCCCCCAAGCGTTCTCTCTTACAGGTGTTTCAGATCGCATGCAGGACTTGCAGCACAGTATCCAACTGAAGTTACATAGTGGATCTCCATCACTAGAATAAAAAAGGATGAAATGCAGGCACCATGCCCACACCTAGAAAGAGATGTTTACACGTAAAGCAAAGAAAGCAAGCAAGCAAGCCAAGTTCTTAGTTTATCAGAAGAATGAAGCAGGTTTAGAGCCTTTCATATTTTGGTCAACCATTCTGCCTGAACTGTGATCTATTTAAAGTGGTAGGAGTTGATTCAGCTAAGCAACTCCTGCGATAACTGGCTTATTTCTAGAGAACAACTCTACCTGGAAAACCATTGTTGTGAAAGACTACACTTTGCCCTAATGGCAAAAATGCCGGCTGAGGTTAAACCACGACATGGAGAAAAAAAAATTTGGAAATAATGGCAGCATGCTATCGAAGTTCTGCCTGTGAGAACTGCCAGTTTGAAAATTGCCGTGGGCGCTGAACAGTCACTCAAAAATAGTTATTTATTCCATACAAATAGTTCTAACCTTTCCATGTACCAGAAAGCACAAAACAGTGATGTCAGCCGGTGCACTTAAAGGAAAAAGGAGTTGAAATGTAAAAAGAGATTCGCATTAAAAGGCAAGGACAATCAGAGGAGAAAAGCCATTACACAGTAAAAGCACTCCTTCAGGCAACCGACTGTTCCCACATCACTGTTTGTTTACTGCAGGATCAGGGACCGGAAGGTTCCAACAATCTGGTGACACCACCAGTAATTTTCAGGGACACTCATTATAAGTAATTTCAGACACAAATCAATCAAAACATTCAGCAACCCAAGTACATCCCAGTAAGTTACACAGAGACATAACTCTTTCAAAAAATGCCATAAACAGAAAGTCAGACACCCCCAGCCACTTTTGGCATGGCAGGCTTTGATAAATTTAAGTTGAAAGACTACAGCTCATCTTTAAATAGAATTTGGAAGACTGAATAGCTCTACATACAACATTAAGTACTTGAAAAATCATAACAAGAAGAGAACTGGAAATCTTTACTTTTTTTTTTTTTAGTACTCTGATGATAACAGAATTTGGGACTTGGGCTCAGGCAAATTTCCTACAGTGATATTTTTCAGTAGCAGCACCTGAATTCAACCCAAAAATTTTGCAGGGGAAGACACCAAAATACCTTGCTAAATGAGTAGTCTTTTATATTACATTTTTATTTTGCAAGAAAATAAATTATACAACTTAAAAAATAAAATTCAAAAATTAAGCAGTACATCAAAATAGTTCAGCTGGACTGCCATACAGAAACTACCACCATTCAAAATTGTACAGCATTATTACCTTGGTAGTGGCACACATTCAAAATCGTAAATACCATACGTAGATAGATATTACAACTCAGGAACTCAAGTTTGCTCAACACTCCAGACTACATATAGTGTATATGACAGGAAAGCTTTCGTGTATTGTTTATTTCACAAATATGACCTCAAAGAATTACAAAGATAGCATCCCAGTCATTTAGATGAAAATAGAAAACAGTTTGAGTTTAAGATAGCAAATCTTTCTGTAAAACTATCAAATCTTTTTGCCAATTGTATTTTTAAAATTTGCACTTTACAGGACAATGGCATCCCGATGCAAATAAATGCAACACGTGAACATTCAGAACATTTATATTAAGTTTAAAAAGGTGAAAATGAGAAAGTCACATTGTCTTTTGGAAATGTAATTGCATTACAGTCATAACCAATGAAAGATAGACGAGTAAAAATAGAAGCTAGGGACACCAACTGTGGAAAGAGGAAAATGGAAGACTTCAGAATTGAAACGGAGATCCTCATCAAGTTGTTGGGACAGAGAAAGATTTAACAGTATTTCTTAACCCATTAAGAGTGATTTTTTTCCCCCTCTTCTACACCAGATTTCATTCCATAGCTATTCACCGTGGCAGTGTGTGTGGCAACATGTTTTGCGGATGCAGCACCTCTTTAAGCTAGGTCTTTGGACATATATATTCATAGCTAAAAATTGCAGCCTTAAAAGTGCGTTGTTGCCATATTGCAAGTGAAGAATAGTTCATTTGCATTTAGGTATGAACTCTACCCGCCCCAAAAGAACAGTTTACCCCAGGTATCTCCCTGTGCCCCGGGTGATACTAGTTTTAAGTGCATATTGGTGAAAGTGACCTGATGAAGGACGTTAAACGTGATTCTGCATCTTGAACAAATTTGCTGGTGTGAGTCTCAGATTTAATAAAAAACCCGACATCCATTTCCGGTATATATTTAAAGAAAAATGACCATGTCATAGGCACATTACCAATTATATTTCTGCATCCCAGGTGTTGAGAAATATAGAGATAACATTTAGGTTGTATTATTTTATATTTATTAGTTGAGGGAACGTGCAGATCCTTAGGTTTTAGCAACCTTTTTCTGCATACACTCCAGCTTCCTAACAGTTGTGTCTGAGATGCTGCCTCTTGAACTTCTCTCTCAAACCTAAATCAATGGCTTTGAAATCAGCTTTACCCCCTTTGTAGCTCTTTCTGCATGACAATTTCACACCTCTTCTTCTCTGGTTAAGGGTTGGAATTTTTTATGTTGAAAAGAGCGTGCTCAGACTGTCATGTTTCCCCCCAATTATCCCAAGCGAGCATTTATTACTTTTAAGTTTCAAAGACTGAAAGTCTTGCAGCACAAAGTTTTTTATTAGAATTTTGTTTTCTAATGTTCAAATAGCTTTACTGGTTAACTGCACAGAGCACCACTTGCTTTTGATTCTGAATCGCAACACCACAGGGCCAACATAAAGGATGCAATATTTTTAAACAGCATCTACTTTTGAGTATCAATAAAAGCATATGGCATAAGCTGTGGGATTTCAATCAATTGCAATTGGCCAGGTCTCGATTTCTCTCCATCTCTCGTTCATGAAACCCTCACTACCAAAAATTTCTTACTCAAATAGATGTCCGAGTACACACCGTTCTCAGGCAGTCACATTGGCATTTACATTAGTAACAGAGCATGCAGCCTGTTTAAGGGTGCAAACAGACATTCTTGCAGTTTGCTTTTAAACCACTCTTACTTTATACTTCACTGCAACCATGTGAAAGCAAAACTCCTCCTCTTACTTACTGGAAGGTTTTCCTTTTTGACTAAAGTTAATTGTATCCTCTTCCCCCTTCCAATCACCAAAGAAGATGAGACCTTTAGATGTTGTACTTGAACTGGTTAATTAAAAAAAAAAATTCGCATACTTGCGATTTATGCAATATTTAGACAGAACTGAGTAAAGCGCAACTTACCTTTTGTCCCAAGACAGGCACTCTGCTCCAGTGATTCATGCTATCAGTCCAGTACATGCTGGGACATTTCAGAGCAGCAGAGAGGCAGGTAGTGCCAAACAACTACTTAAGATGATTGAAAACAGAAGAGGTAACATTAAAGAGTTGAAATTCCTGATGTGTATTTGGCACTCTCTCTGCATACACCAAACAAGGTATTTTTCCTTAGCTTTTCACCATTTTCGTTAGAGTTGTATTTTTTACCCTGCCAGTTTAAAAACAAAAAGCAGAGGGTTTGCTTTTCATATAAAGATGTTGACTTCTAAGCAACAAACCAGTCCACTTGGATTAACCTTGCATGTATATCTAAAATTACCAATGAGGAATTAGTACAGGGATCTTCAAGTGTTATTTTCTTTCCGGGGGAGTTGTGCATCAATTACTCTTTAATGCATTCAGATATATGTAGTCATACTTAAATATTTGGAATACAAATATTAAATGTACAAGGAAATACACTTAATATTTCTGTTCAGTATAACAGACCCACCCATGAAAACTTTTAGAGTGAAGTATCGTTCAAGAAAGCTTTACCTTCTCAAAAAGGATTGTAGCAAATCATCCGTCCAAATAAGGTAACAAATAACGTATATCCACTTGTTTACAGCAAACAATTTAAAAACAATGATCTCTTGCTAAAGGAAAAATATCACCCATGACTTGAATTCCTTTTATGTCACTTATGCGTCAATTATTAAAATCCAGTTACTAGATTGAAGCACTGCTCTAGCCAACAGGTTTTAACTGTAACAAATACATATCAGTTGTGATGCATGTGTTTGTGTCTCTCAAATGTTATTACATAAAAAGGATCAAAGGTGGACAGTACATTACTCTGTTGATCCAAAACACAAAAGTGAAAGTGCTACTTCTAGTCCTAATTATTTAAAAAATTATTACATAAAAAGGATCAAAGGTGGACAGTACATTACTCTGTTGATCCAAAACACAAAAGTGAAAGTGCTACTTCTAGTCCTAATTGCATTTAAAAAAAAAAAAAAAAAAAGAAAAGCAACCCAAACCCAAAACAAAACTAATAGCAGTTCCTCAGTGCATGAATATTTGAATATTTTTTTCCTTGTGCAAGTACTGGTCATCTAAAAACCCAAACCTGTATTCTTCCTGGTGGGTGTAAATCAAACCTACTTTAAAAAGTTCACAATGGGCTCTTCATGAATGCAAGTTTCCCACAAAACAGCATGCTGTTAAACGTGTGCAACATGAAGGGAATGCCATCATGCTAACTGAACGAGATTGGCAAAATATAGTCCTCTGTAAGGTAAGGCAGGGATTTTAATACGTAACGAAAGTCAAAACAAGTCCTTCTGCAGCACAAACTGTTGCAGCTGTCTGTCCAAGCACCCTTCCATTTATGTTCTCAGCATCCTGCAGAGTCCTCAAATTATGCCATATATATGAAGGTGTTGATATCCGACTCATCTCTTCTGATATATTTGTGCTCTATAAGCCATTCAATTTGCTCTTTTATCATTTTCTTTTGTGGCAAGAACATGTTTTTCAATATTTCTACCAGTTCAGTCTGAAGCTGGGCATTAGTAATTTTCTTCCGCATTTTCATTATTTGGATGATAGCCTCCTGGTGGGGGACAAGAGAAAAAAAAATAGGTTTTTTTTAAATGCTTGGCTGAAGCGACAAAGTGAACACACCATTAATAGGGGAGTCCTGGTAATGCAAGACAGCAAGGAAATCTATGTTTTCCTTAAAAATCAGATATATGCTGCATTTCTGAGCCTAAGTAGATACAGAATTGCTTTTACAAAGAAGTTGATAAAGGAAAAGAATGAAGCACTGGCAAGATGCGATATAAGACAAGTCCAGTCACAGGAGGATCTGCAGTTAAATCTTGTATCTAGAGTGTGAATTACTCACTAAAACCTAATGTTCATTCACTCTCTGAGCAGAAGTCACCACTTCCAGGGTGACTTGTGATATACCTTGTGAACACCTCATGAAATGCAAGCTTAATGTCCAACTGGAACTCACAAGGAGTTCTCATTTCGTAAGTACAACCAGGCATTAATCCTTCTGCTGGAAGTATGGCCAAGATGTTAAGTCAGGTGGTACAATTCACAATGTGCATGGCCTGGAATCTAATCTGACTGATAGAAGAGACCTGCAATTGCAAGGTAAGATGGGATTTTTGAGGCTCCATTGTAGGTAATGATCGCTGATGCCTGAAAAAATTCAGGTTTTTTTAGAACTGTCAGCTCAAAAGATCTGACATGGGTACCCGACTGAAGGACAACCAACCACAAAGCAGGAAGCTGCAGTTTATACATCTAAGAGGTACTTATAAACTTTCCCTCTAAAGAGAAGGACTCTCAAAAAGTCATACTGCTATTACTAAAAGCGTGACCCCATCTCTGAGATTACTCTCTTCATACAGAGCAGTCAAAGAGATCTCAAAATCAACAATACTGTTTGTTCATGTTGGTGACTCAAGTCAGTCAACTTTACCATCTGCTGCCACCCACCACTACACAGTTATGCCTTCACCAGTTGCTTCGTATCTGCTTTGTCCTCTTTCAATATGATGACCTGGTACATCAGAACAGGAGGCTGATAACTACAAGTGCACAGACACACGTGCAAAATCCTGTACTCACAAAGGATCTAAGCCAAATAGCAAAAGTTCCAATGAGATTCAAAAGCATTCAGTTCATACATCAACATCCAAACGTGGACAGCATGCAGGAGTGATAATACAACAAAAGAAATAGGGTAATTTTATATTCCTCTGGCAGTTTACTTGCCTGGGTTCGCAATATTCTTAGCTGGACTATTCCTTCATTTTCCTCTTCCCGCATTCTCTCTGTAGTAAGTTGCAATCGACCAATCAAATTTATCTTGCCCCTTTTCTGAACTTTAGCGTTTTTTCTGAAAAAGTTGTATTGTATGAAAATAAGCAAAAAATACATTTTCAATTAAGGAATTCCCGTTAAACTTAAATTACAGCAGCAAGGAGTACCATCACATATCAGATATTTATAGGCTATTAGCATTGCAGCAGTGAGATAGCTGGCTGACAAATCAAAACTCAATGCCAACGCCTCCGCACAATAAAACCTGAATATACTAGCATTACAAAAAATCCATCAGCTGAAAATGACAGCATCCAAAGTTGAAAAGTTAACAGTACTATTTTAACAAATAAAATTTCAGAGAAATATATTTCAGTTTAATTATATAAAACTAGGGCTCTTTAGAGGAAGTTTTTATAACAAAGTTCAGGAAATTGGACTAGTTCATTTTCCACCAAAAGAAATGTTTGTCTAGCAGAAAAAAAAGGATGAATAACAGCTATAGTAACAAAGAAAGCTGATGGCATTCTTCAGTGGTCACCCACAAACTTTCTGTACAGCCTGCCTCTTCTGTCACACCCTCTCATAATTTCCCAAAGCTCATGATCCTGATGACAGGAAAAAACATCATGGCACTGGGCAAGAAACTAAGCCCCAGGAAAGCAGATTCGTTACCTCCCTCTCTCTCCACAGATCCAGATGTCCAGCTGCTACTGCGAATGAGGCCCAGAATCTGAGGTTACTAGCAAGGAGCCACTTCTAATCATAGCCATTGACAATAGAGAGAGGCAAAACCCAAAGCAAAACATGCTGAATGTAGTATATACCATTTAGATATTCTCTCTTTGTGCTATCTTATGCTCCGAAGGATTTCAAAGCACCAGTAAAAGAGCACTGCAATTCTCACTGAAATAAAGACACTCTGGTGAAAGCCACACCAAAAACCCAGGCTTTTGACAGCATACCATATTATTAAGTTAAAAAAGCAAGTGAAACTGCTTATCACTGCTTTTGAAACTCTGTGTGTGAGTGTAATAATCAATACAGCACTAGTGCTCTGCTTACATGCTGTTCTTCCTATATGAAATTTCATTGGCTCATTAGTAACAGGAAGATAGCAGAGCCTCCAATTTTGCACCTCATCCCTGGGTGTTTTAAGAAATTTAATTTCACAGAAATCAATCATAGAAACATTTGTCTGAAGGGGCTGCTGGAGGTCATCTGGTCCAACCACCTACTCGAAGCATGACCATCGCCAAAACTAAGTGAGGCTAGGGCAGCAAAGCGTGTGTCTAGCTGAATCTTGAAAACTTTCAAGGACGAAGGTTAACTTAAAGTGAATTCCTTTAATTATAAAATAGCACATTGTTATTTTACTTTTCAAACATCATCTTACATTAAACTGAACTCCTGGTTCACCGAGAAGAGGGTTCCTTCTGTAAAGTCTTTGGGTGAATTGACTTGAGGTTCATACAATAAAACCTGACGTTTCAGCTTTGGAAATGCTACAAGAGACTACAGAGAAAAGGAGGGAGGGGGAGGAGAATGAAAATAAAACACCAGACTTTCTAAATGAAAACAATTGCTTTTTAAGAACACAGGTCACTGCTGTGCAGACTGTAGTGAGGGAACCAAGTAGCCTTGTTTGAAGCTGCCAGAGGGCAACACGAAGATACTAATAAAACCAGAGAGGGGACACAGTTTACCAAATCTCCTTCTGAAATGGGCTAGCCTAAGTAAAATCATACGAAGAAGTAAAATGCACGAACTCACAGCTACAGAAGTGGTGTTAAGTCTGATTTACGTGATTTCTCTCTTTATCCTTGAGCTAAATCATTAGAAGCCTGATAGAGCAAACACTGAAGTTATTTTTTAAGCAACATACAATTATCAGGAGCCACTGATTTCCTAGAATTAGACCAGTCCCACTCCAAAACCCACAATCATAACTGTGTGCTTTAGGCAGTATATGGTCAAAAGATATTGCTGTTTCCAAAAGCTTAAGTTAGGTAACATTGGGTAGAGAGAATGTCTTAACGTAAAGGCTGTGTGTGCTCAACAGTAGTGCAAGGAGCCAGCATTACAACTGATTAATTAGCAAGAAAGGTGTTCACATTTCAGTTTCAAAGTGTTATCTGGCAGCGCTTTAAAAATACTAATCCAGTATTTCAGAGTACAAAAATCAAGAAGAAATCTTTTTCAAGAGAAAGGGAAATACCCATAAAGTCCTCCTAAGTTCTGCATCAGGGAGTTCAGTTGCCAGTTTAAGATTTTCAAAGCTGATCTTCTCTCTGGGTCTTTGGTTCCACGCAAACAGCACAGCTAGCTGAAACGTTGTTACCTCCAGGTCATACTGGCCAACCTCGTTCTTAAACGTTATCTGTGAATAGAATGATAACTGTACTTATAAGCCTTTCTGGATGACAAGCTTTCTTACTATTATAAATACACAGAAAGTACAGTCATTGAGATTGATACACCGAAAACTGTAGACTTACAATTCCATTGGACATGAGGTGGTGCCAGTGCAGTTTTCTACCACTGTGATTCTTTTTATAAAATTCTTCAACTTCTGGGATGAGATCTTCTAATTCCGTGGGCAGCGAGACAAACACTTTTTCAGAACTTCGGGACCAGGCGCCAGCATTTAAAATTTTAATATTCACAGAGTCAGCTGTAAGCCAATATTGGATTATATGAATCTTCAGGTATAACAGACAGATAAACAAAATGCATTTTTTTTCCTACTCGAAATACAATTACGGAGGACTGAATTTTCAGAAAGTAGCAGGGTATCTACCTATTTAAACATTAAGGTACTCTATTTATGCACCAGTGGCTTTCCGCCAGCAACACTGATTGAAACCTCTGTTTTTTTGGCTTGCTTCTGCAGAGCTCCTTAAGCCTTGATGCAGCTTTATAGATGATGCTTGTAAGCACTACTCAAGGGTTTTCAGTAACAGCAGGTCCAAAACTGGATGTTCCTCAGCCACCCTCATCAATGAAATTTAATCTCAGAAATGTGATTTGAGCTCTTCATAGTGTGCATCCAGCTCTCCTG